CGACCCGCCAGCACCGTTCCATCTTCTGCCGCTGAACAACTAGAACTGGATGCGGCCCGAGGTGTGGGTGTCGTAAGACGGGCATCAACTGCACTTCAGCTTGTGGATGTGAAAGTGCGTACTTTAATGACCCACCGGTCCTCGAGGACAGCGATGAAGAAGACAACATCGACACATTCACTTTTTCGGACAGCGAAAATTAGTCTTAGATACTGTTAATATCTGATGTTACACATTGTATATAGCACGATCCACTTTCGAATTACTACCTCTCCTTTATACAGTTACGATGAGGTTTCCTGGAGGGAAAAAACCAAAGGAAATCATGATGTAGGTATTGGTCATATACATACATTGATATGTATCATCCACATATCAAAATATTCAACCTTGGATAGTCAATAACATAAAAACGATGCGTTTTTTCATAATTATGTATCCACTCAAAGTTATAGCAAATTTAATAAGCTTTCATTTTTATGTACAAATTTTTTTGCTATAGCGTACCTTTTCCACGGTGTAAGCAAAAAAACTATAAAATGGGACCTTCAGAGTCACTCTCGCTCCCCTTCCCCCTTTAGCACAGGCGGTAGTCGGGGGGACTTTACTTTATGTTGAGTAGGGAATAGTAGATTACATACCGAGCTGGGAGGTGGTTCATTACCTACCCCGAGGGTTTAAGGTAAGGAGGTGAGGTATAAGCGCGAGGCGTTGGTTATGAACCACTGACCAGCGAGGTTTGTATACTATTTTTTCTACTCATATTAAATAATAGGTAGAATACTGATGCGTTTTTAATTGAGAAAGTTATCTATTATTCAATATGTTTTCATTATTCAACTGTTGTCAGCCAATCGTATTCCGAGTTTGTCATTACTCTTCAGCTCACATTGTAGGGTTGCCTTGGAAACATGTGTGTAGCAAAAATCAAGATCTCGGATCGTGATAAATTCAGTTGTCAAACATTAATGTCAATCAAACAAATTACGAGAAATCAGTTTTGTGAAAATTACGTGAAAATGGACAGTAGTGCAAGCATGATGAGCAGTGACGACGATATAATTCTAACTTCTCCGTATTTTACGTACATTGCTGATTTTGTCAATTGTTTGATGACATAATAAAACCATTATGCATAATGTTATTATTACTGTAATTATTGAATACAAGTAGAAAAAGTATAGTATTTAACTCGTGAGAAAGGCATTATTCACTCAGATAAATTACGCCACTCGTCTTCGACTCGTGGCGCAAATCTTATCTTCGTGAATAATTGCCAACTTTCTCACTCGTTGAATAATATACTATTACTCACAATCGATCATTTAAGGTAAAGTATATAATTCAACAAGGTGTTACTTTAACTGTCAATAATAGTGACACCGCCAATGTAACCATTAATGTTTACAACAATAGCAAATAGTTTCGTTCTTCTTCGTAATTTGCTATTGCTGTAAACATTAACGGTTACATTGGTGGTGTCACTATTAGTATAAGTTTCATATAAGGACAATATGAATAGCAATTGCAGGTAAGGAAAGTGACAGATGCTAGCCGGGAAAGTGACAGCTAGCCGGCTAAGGTGAGTAATGAGTCGCTTCGCAACCGCTATGAAGGTTAGGAATTCAGATAATACTAACCGATTGTGAGTAAACGTCCCTTACATAATTCCAAAGGAACTGGTAATACATGAATTAGTTCCTTTATTTTTCCTATTCTGACTGGGCTAATGTTCAAACGAAAAACCCTGATCCGCAACGCCTTTCGTCAATCAATCAGCGGTCAGGGGCGGACTCTTAACTATATCATCAGGTATCCATTTCCCGCGATGGCGGCGCGGGTTTAAATGCCGAATGAATTAGCCACAACATAAGGAGGATGCGCTCTGGTGGAATCCCTGTCTCACGTGCTACAGGGATGTCCAGTGAGCCACCACGAACGCATAAAGCGGTACGACGAGATAGTACGCAAGTTGGCTAGGCATACCAGATAGAAGGGCTGCACCACGGAGGTTGAGCCTCACGTCTACCATCCGGATGGACAACTGTTTAAACCGGACCTCGTCATTCACATAGGCCCCGCCGAGCTTGTCGTGTGCGACGTCCGGTGTGCTGCGAGGACCCACGTACGCTATCAGAATCGTGGGACCTGAAGCGGATCGTACCAGCCGAGGTTCCGGGAGGCAGCTGCAAGAAGGTGGCCGGGCAAGAGGCTCACATTCCTGCATCTAATGAATGGAGTGCGAGGCATTTGGCCTCGCTGTAATACGCAAACCGCCGCAGCTCTCTGTCTACCATCTTCGTCCAAGGCAAGCGCTGTTTCCATTCACCGCGCCTTCATGGCTGCTGTATGGAGCAGGCAGGTCACCCAGATCATCCTCTGGCCAACCGACCACGTCTTCCAACCTGCGGTAACCGACGGGAACACAAACGTCCACGGAACGGCGCTGAAAACAACCAGGCTCCGGTGTACGGCTCGTCTAAATTTAAACTATTAGGACTTGGATCTAAATTGTTAATTTGGTTTGTCTTACCCAGGAAACAAGGTGACGTCAGATTCACGTCGATATTTAGTCATATATTACGTCATTGTGCACCTATACATGACGTCAATGTGATGTACTCTGACGTGATTATGTCACATCCCGTAGACGTCATTTATCGACGTTGGAATGTCGTGATCGGAGACGAAAATAAAACAACCCTTATGACGTCTTTATGACGACAAAATAAGACTACTATCATGTGGAAAATGGTTTATTTTGTTTCTAAACCTGAGAACTAAATAGACTTATACATAAAAATATACAATAGCCACTACAATATATGTGTACATATTACTATATTACTGTTGATATGTATGCAGCAATGGTAACGATACATAAGAGTCTTTGTAAGGAAAAACAATACACTTAGATGTCACATGTGAAATAGGGTAGGTTATTAATTCATTTGACAAATTATTAAGTTCAAATATATCTAATTCTGTTGAATCTAATGGATAATCATATACTGGTTTATAAGAATCGAACATTTTGCCTACAAGGAAAACATTTTCGTTACTTTGGGTTATTATATTATGAATTTCCATAACTTTCGATTTGATTAAACAATAGCAGTTTGCCTTGCAAAAGTTATGTATTGTAAATAAACAGTCTTGGTATCTAACTTTTTTAAATTGTTTTGCAAATGACATTGATAACACTGTGGGACCTGAAAAATGTTCATAAAAGGGTGTATTCATTGGAAAGAGTGAATGGTTCGAGCCATTTGCTACAGTATTTATTTCTTCTATTCTGTTACATAGTTGAATTATTGGTTGCTTTGGAGACTTAACAAGAGTTTTTAACTTCCCTAAAAAATTTTCGAATGGGAAAGCTGAAAAATTATCAAGCGGACCAAATAACTCCACATCTGTGGGTAAATGTATTAAAGTGTGTACATTGAATACCAAAAATTCTAAACCATACAAAAATTGGCTGTGCTGTACAAATATTTTTAGTATTCGAGTTACATGCTGACATCCAAATCGTCGTATATGTTGGTTTGAGCACAAAATTGTTATCGACACATGTAATAGTAAAAAGTGATGATAGACGGCTTTATCAACTATTCCTGGAAGGACAAATGGTGCTAAGTACAACACAAAGGTACGAAATTCAGTGGCCTTAAAGCGAGCTAATTCATTCAATGAACGTGGTTTTCTATTAATTTCAATAGGTATACAATGTTTGGTTTTCAACATTCGCTCAGAAAGGTTTGCTATTTGACGAAAAGATAATCTGGTTTTATACTTTCCACTAATCCAGCAATTTATAATTTTACGTGTTACACCTAAACAAACATTGTGCATGTAGTCTATGGGGAATGATGTGACCAGGCCAATATTCAATTGCAATAATGGTGTGATTTCTTCTTTATGGTGGTCACTGTCTTTCTGTAGCCTAAAAGATTCATCTGTTCGTAGTTCAGCATTGACATTTTCCAAAATCACTCTACCTGGACCTAAATATTTGCCTGGATCTGTACATTTTTCACATGAGGAGTATCCTCCATGTGATTTTATGCATTTGAGAAATGCCCTTGCAGGTGCATCACAAATAAAGCACCTGGTTTTGACTTGATAATCAATTCCATTATATAAGAAACCATTTTGTTGTAATAATGCCAATTCCTGTATAAAATCATGTAAAAATTTTGACAATGGTTTCGGTTTTGTAGTTCCGCAAAAAATTGCAATAGCAAATGGGGATTTAATTTTGAAATTATGTACCATTCCTAATATGGGCCATAATTGGATATTCGAGCTTTTAAATAGAGGGATTCCATCAATGTTAAATGATAGTTCCATAACTGTTTGGGAAAAATTCAAATTTTTAATTAAGAAAATTTGTAAATTTTTTTAAATTCCGAAATAAACAAACTGTCCAGTCTCCATTGTTTGAATGTCAAATTTTTGGGAGGTTTTCATAAGAGTCCTTACGTCTAAGGGTAACTCCGCATGATACGTGTTTAAAATCTTAAGTAATGATGTTACTGCTGAATGTGGCATAGTGGGAGTGTGTACAACCCAATTTCTTAGCTTATCTGTAAGTGAATGGTCTCCATCACCTTCCCTATTTTCGTTGTTATGTATATTCATTTCTGAATGTTGACTTATATCATTTAGTGACAAGTCACTATTAGATGAGGTCGAATATGTGAAACTATAATTCTCATATGTGTAGCTACTAAAGTCGCTAGGTGATGATCTTGCTTGAGAATTAGCATTTGATATTCCAGTATCATTTACAAGAGTTGTTTTATTAGTTTTCGATGGCAAAGATTGGGAATTTATACTAGTTATAATGTTATCAACATCATTTGCAATTCTACGGTACAATTGTCTTTTTGAAACCAAAGTTTTGGCTTTACGCTTACATTTTTGTTTAAACATGATAAAAAATATTAATAATAGAAGGAATGCAACTAATCTAATTAGTAATAATAAAAAAACCTTAAAAAATTAATTCTTGTACAACTAACATACCTATTTATTTTCTTTTTGTTTTTTATTTTCGAGTGTCAGTCTCTGAGGAGCATGTTTCAACCAGACTTTCACATTTTCGTTGATTTCATGCTCTGGTGTATTTGGCGTTGATAACTGCACAGCCCCTAAAATTTTTGTGTGTAAGAATAAGTACATATACTGACAATTTTGTATACAACTTACGAATAATCAATTTATTTAAGTTTAATTTAGTAAATGCCTGCTTATTGTTACGGGTTCCCAAAAAACTGAAATTGATTGCTACTTTGTTTGAGATCACACTTCTCAAAATAGTATTTGTTTTAGTTGTAATGTCGCGGCCACCTAAGGTGGATAAATATGCACTCTGTAAAATATAAGAAATGTTTAACAATTACATATAGTGAAAAGTAACATTTTTGTACCATAGCACATAGGTGATCTTCTTCAGATAGGTATTCCTCAATTATTGGTATTTCCAGTAATTGTTGTATGGGGATTTTCACAGGGACGTCATTGGGCAGTTGATATGAGGTATTACTTTGTTGTAAAACTTCTCTCTTCTTTAAAGACTTTAAAATGGCTTCATTTTGCTTAGCAACATGATCATTTTGAGACTTGATGTGGATCAGTAACCGCAATAAAGTCTTATATTTTTTATCTAAAATTAAAATTATGTAATAGATTTAATTAGGTAAATAAAAGGTTACCATGGTAATCAACATGAGTTCCACGTAGCAAATCATCCACATCAACAATGGTATGATTCAAATTAGGACTCGAAACTCGTGAATTTAATACACTTGATGGACCTAAGACAGTTTATAGGTAATGAAATATTTCCTTGAATAATTATTCATATGGAATACCTGATTGTCCTTCATTTAATGTTTCACAAATTTCTGTATCTTCAGTTTCTAAATTATCAGCTAGATTATCAGGTATGAAGAGTTTATTTCTTATCCTGTACGGAGTCGATTGTAGTGAACTTGAGCAACCTGTTACAACAAAAACTATGATCAGAATTGTAAAGATGAATAACACTATCGCAAATACCTGACGTGACATCATTATATTTAGCCGGAGTTTGTCTATCGTGTTCCGAGATAATTAAAGAGGCCTTTGAAGGACGATTCTTTTTAATAGAAATTGGATTTGAATGTGGAGATCTACCCGGCGAACCTATTACAAAATAAATAATGTGACTAATATACTAACATTCTAATATAAATACCTGCCGACTCTGCATTTAATAAATTTTTAGAAAGCTCTGAGATATTTATTGGAGGTGGTGCAGGAAGTGTACTGAGTGACCCTTCTTCATCACTGCTTTCATAGCACAACCGTTTTGGAGGATGAATAGCCCTCTTACTTAAACACGAATCCTCATCGGCATCTGATTGAACATCGGACTGTAATTCGGCTCTCTTTAGTTTTGACCTTGCTTTCGAGTAATCATCTAAAAAAATGCATTATGAGTAACTAGAATTATAATATGGACAAAAATACACACCTGTTTCGAAGAAGCACCTAGAAACAGGATAAATTTTCCAGTTTGCTTCATTTGGTGTCTCTCCCGTTTTTAATGCTTTTTCGTACACAGATTGAGTTTTGTAGGGTGGCCAGAAGGCATTTTTTTTTCTTGGCGTTAACCAGTTTCTGTTAATTATAGCTAAACCGCCCCCACAAGACGCAGAAAACTCCACACCTAAAAACTCCATCTTTTTTATTATACGGAGGACGCTAACGATTCACGTTGCGCATGATAGCTGACAAAAAACGAACATAACCCGAATTGTAACGTCAGGTACCGAAGATAAAAGGCGGTAAAAAAGAATATCGTAATTCCCATATTCAGTGATTGTGCACTGGGCGGCTTTATTAAACACACCTATACACTGCTACTATAAATTTATTGATATAAATTAAGCATATCCAATAAAATAGTCATAATAATGACGTGTTTATCACGTCCCATTTTCGTATTTATATGACGTCATTCATTAGGCATTTGTATCACGTCAATATGACGTACCATTCTTGTCACATCACGTCATGGTGGTAGACATCACTGGATTTTGACGTGATTATCACGGCATGTTGTTTCCTGGGTATTAGTAATTAGCCTACCGTTGGGCAGCATCTTGTAACGGAAATGTGATTCAGCATCGCGGATGCTTCCCTATTCAACCTCCGCCAATGGCTCAGTGATGTGGAACGTGCTCCGCTGAAGCAGCATCAGAAATTCGGGCTCACGACGACGTAGGTCGTTCCCCGTACGTCCTGCAGAGCCTAAAGGGCACCGCATCTCTTCGTTCGGAGACCGACCGGATGATTCGAGGGAAGATACGGAGGATGCTACACCTTAAGCACACGGGGAATCAACACGTGTACGCTATCGTGAAGACGGCGGCCTTGGGGTCCCCGAACTACGCCGCCTAGTCCCATGGGTGCTCTTAAACCCACTTGCAAAACTAAACGGCCTCAACGAGACCATGACGGCGTCACTCCTGCCGAATCCGGACCCCACACACGATTTCACTCTCAGGGGGCGTGAAAGCTCGCATCCATGCCCTTAGGTATGGGACTCCAAGAAGCCGCCGACGATACCTCCACCCGATCTTGGAGTTGACCCCCCCCCCCTCCAGAAGATGGAACGGCAAGGATTTCGGTTCGTGCCGTTCAGCTTAGATCTTCAAACATCCCCACCAAGGGCCACCCTTACGTCCCAAGAGAACAGTGTTTCTGTAGGAGGGGATGCGCTCAGGTGGAATCCCCGTTACATGTTCTCCAGGGGTGTTCCGTGGCCCACCACGAGCGCATTAAACGGCACAACGAAATCGTGCGAAAGGTTGCGGGTCACACGAGGCGAATGGGCTGGACAACGCCACATAGGAGTATTTACTCTAAAATCCTGGTCAAAATTATTTAACTTAATTTATTATCATATAATCATTTGAGAACAATAAAAACATAAACGAGAACTGTCTTAAAGGTATAAACTTGCATCACTATCATTACTATGAACATCTTCCTGAATTTCAATTAACGAATTTTTCGCGTAAGGAATCAAAAGACCTATTCTTTCTGATCAGAACGGCTTGCTCCTTTTTCGTGGCATAAGTCTAAGCACTACTACTAAGAAAAGGATCAAACGTTAGTAAAAGTCTATTTAAAATGCCTCTGTTGCATTTAACTCTGTCAGACTTTCGGGCAAAGTGCTAAACAGTCTAAAATGTTTATTGCGGGCTTCGGCAGCCTCTTCTGAAAGTTGCCCAAATGGTAGTATTGAGTGTGAAATCATAGTTGCACCATGCTGGCATGAGAATTTTGTGTACAGTAGGTGACATTGAATACCACCCATATAGGCTGCACGTGCAGTTTCTGCTGTATATGCTTCAAATTTTCTAGCGTGTTCTTCATGACCACTGGAAATAGCAAGCATGACTCGTTGAATTAAATTACGATCTATCCCTGTAATGTTTCTGTATTCGTGATGTATTTCCATCATTAGTGTTCCCGTATTCAGCTTTTGGTATATCTCTCATTTTTCCTCGAAACGCGTTTTGAATTATTTTTTTACTCTTTTTCACTATTAATTTGTATTGAGTTGACTTAACTTGCCATTATCAACTTGATAAATGTAGTAACGATTCAAAGAATTTAATCCTTGCGTGTAAGATTGAAAGTCCGAATTTGAGACTCAGGATTCACTTCAACTTTTTTTGTTAAATCATTGAAGTCTTTAGATGTAAGACCACATATGTATATAACACTTCATTGTTGATGATGATGCATTGTATACTTTGCCATCCACCATTGGTGGCAACAGTTCGCTTGTTATATAAGAACCCATTAGCCCTTGAAACTTCCGTTTTTTCTAAATTGTTTGCTTGTTTGTCAATGTTGCTTTATTAGTGACATCCTTTGTTTCATTAATGAAACGTATCCGTATAGGTCTGCAAAACCTGGGAGATGAAGACCCTGGATTCTGCCATAAAATTCTTATTTGATTATCAGTGACTGTAAGCAGTCGCTGTGGCACAAGAGAGCTTTGAAATATGTTGGCATCACTGTCGGTATTATTTTCAAATTGTTGCTTGTACTGGGATTACTGAGATCCATCACAGCCCCACTTGATGATGAGGTTTAAATTGGCTTTTTCTTCTTCCGTACAAGTGTCTATAACTTCGTGTAAATACTTGCACAATCGTAAACAAGTTTGTTTAAGCAAATCTTGTAACGCAACTTCAGCACATGTCTCTGTCACTTTGATGGCTTCCTCATTTGGATAGCAGTCGGTTTTTGCTTAACAAGGATATATTTTTTTCTTTGCCCTTGTAGTATTTCCCATTGGCTTCTACTAAAATCTCCTTCAACGCAAGCCATTTTTTAATGTAGTTAAAATATCTTCTTTTTTGCCTAGAAAACTTTGCCTTGGATAGTGTACCTACGTACGTAGTTTCTTGCGTTTTTACGAATTAATAGCACTATTTTTATTTATTATAAAAGATAGTGATGTTTACATTTTTGAAATCTGAAAATAATTCTCTATCAAATGACGCAAAAAGTAAAAATTACTTCCATAAGAAAAAACAAAGTTGATGATGGTTGATTGATTGGAGACGTAACGTCAAACTTGAAATTTAAAAGTAGCATCTTCTAGAGAGACAATAGTGGCTATAATAATGTATCATTTATTTCGAAATATTTTCTTAAATAACTAAAAAAAAAACGATTTTGCAAAATTTCGGTTTTTTCCGGATACCTCCGGAAGTAGTCGGAATTTTTTCAGTTTCAAAACTGCATATTATTAAGGATCCTCAGGTCCTTTATAGTTTTGTATTGTCGACCGTCCGTCCGTGTGCGCTCTAACTCTTTAAAAGTGGCCGATTGTGTTGAAATTTGGTGTACGGGTACTTTGGACATTAAGAACGGACGCTATTGATTTTCAGGAAGCTGGTTAAACAGGAACAAAAGTTATAGGACTTCGAGTGAATCTGGAACAGGAAAAAACTGCGGACTCAATATAATAGAAATCAACATATTTCATTCCCTAGGTCATGTATCGAGTTCGGACATTCGCTACATTATACCCTCTGACTCTTAGATGTGTAACAATTCAATATAACTCTTCTCTGTGGTATAGGTCGAAAGTTTTAGAGCAAAATGTAGCCAAAATTATACTTTATACATGAATTTCGAGTTTTAAAAGCTTTCAAACGCTGAAAGAGTACATCACGTGCACATTTGATAACCGCATGTGGGTGATTCAAAGATATTAAATTAAAAAAACATGTCAAAATAGTTATTTATGCACCAAGACCGTTGGGAAAAAGGCTAAGAGCATTATCTCAATGCCCAAGACATGAATTTGACGTATTTTGTAAGATTAAAATAAATTATCGTTAAAAATGATTGCAATACTGTACTGAGGATCCTTAGATATTCCGTTGTATTGGTTTATTAAACATCATAATACGCAACTTGGCCAAATTTAAACTACCTACCCATCTATTACAGTTCCCGAGATCCCCATGGTGGCCCTCAAATTTGAATCAACCTGTATATCCTCTTTGAAAAAAGTTAGAGGCCATGATCCGCATGCATACATTTTACTGGATGGGATGCAATCGCACCAACACGCACACCTTTCGCTCAAATATACTAGGACAAAAAAATTACATGTTTTGTATTGGTGATTTTGAAACAAACTTTATTTGGAAAATTGCCAAAATATTTTACATCAAATATATGCAGTCAAAATTTACTTTCTTGTGATACTTGTAAGATAAAACGTACAAATAAATTCTCATTGCAATCGCTTGAATTCAAACGATGTTTGTAAGTAAAGGTAAATACGGCTAGGAACAAAGTCAAATATAAACTGCGAAATAAGGAAATCAAGTACAGAAGCATTTGCATACAAATTCAATTCCTTCACGTAAGTACCTATACTATTACACACCGAATAACACATAATTATAAATGAAAGTTATTCATTAAAACAGTATTGTTTACAAATTGAACTAATAAATCAAGGGGGTTAAAAATAAAAAACAAGTTTTATTGGCGTAATAAAGTGTATGTGTTTTACTTTAAATATCTATCATCTACGTTCTAAATGATTTATTTAATCGTTTCGTTTATGTTATCTAAACTTGCAGTCGAGTGTTGACTAATTTCGTATTTTAGTAAGGTGAAAATGTTACAACTGGGAAATTCCCAACAAACTTGAATTGAATTTGAGTGTTCAATTTGAATGAGGTCGAATGAGATAAGATTCGACTTTAGTTATGTTCAATTTCGCCAAATTACCTCTATAATAAAGGAAAATCGATCTATTACATTACTGTGTACAATGGTATGCGGTCAATTGCGCTACCCCCAAAACAACTGTCTAGCCAGCTCAAACAAATCAAAATTGAAACTTATAATTTCTCCTCGTATATTCAACTGCAAATTATTATTTATCACTTAGAATTTATAAAGTAACACAAGCGCGTTGAAGTTGGAACTAAACTAAAATGCAATTCGATTTGCTTATATAGTAAATCCGAGTGTTCGCGAGACTGTTCGAACGATCTAGAACAAAACACGTTATGTTTCCGGGAAGGATTACGTCACATCCGCCTTCGTTGTTTATCGCCGATGACTAATTTTTCACGACGTCTATCAAGATTTCTGGAATGTTCGATACACTATAATTTACTTAAGAGTACTAAACCTGAACTGAATTGCGTTACACCTGCGGCAACATAAAAATTATGCGTAGGTTTGAGACATAGTAATATGTCGCTATATTATCTGCGTGATGTAGCAGAAACTACAATACCATCTATAAAGGTAAACTAAATGGACTATACACAATAGCTATCGTATTTATTTGTTTGGTAACGATGAGAGACATTTCAATAAAACATACTTTCAGAGAAAATCTAGAACTCCGAACTCGAAAAACACTTAAACTTTTTTTTACAATTCGAGATAACTTTCACATCCCAGTCTAACTTCGAATGAATCTCCAGTAAAAGTGATTTACTGCAGCAGCCTTAAACCTATAAATGCACTTAAGGACAACTTAAAATATAAAAGATCCTCGCT